ACCCAGTCTAAGACACCTACTCAACAATCTGTTGCAGAATTTTGACAGTGAGTTTACTCCACTGATTCCGAAATCCACCAGCTGGTTCCTCTCTCACACCCACCGTATTCTCCTGCACAGAGAGCACTAAGGAGCAGGGAAGGGAGGGTGGTTGGAAAAGCACCAAATGGGCTGCAGCCCAGTCTGGGAGGGAGGAGCAGTGCCAAGGCGAGGACTGAAGGGTCTTCCTGGCTCAGGCCCCTCTGCCCAGTGGTCTGCCTCACCCCACACACCACTCGGTCCACTTCTAACATTCTGCCTTCACCATGGTCTCCCTGGGACACAGGCTGAAGGCCAGAGTCCTTGGCCTGATATTGTACATGTCCACAGCTGGCCTCACCTGCCTCCTCTCCCACTGCCCCCTACTGTAAGCCTCCACTCAATGCTCATCCCCCCCACCCTCTGTCTCTGTTCAATCTAGCCCCCTCCCTAGAAGCCTGCCATTTCCCCTATCTTGGTTATCTAGAGCCGCTATAACAGAAATACCACAAGTGGATGGCTTTAACAAAGAGAAATGTATTCGTCTACAGTCTAGGAGGCTAGAAGTCCAAACTCAGGGTGCCAGCTCCAGGGGAAGGCTTTTTCTCTCTGTCGGCTCTGGGGGAAGGTCCTTGTCATCAATCTTCCCCAGTCAAGGAGCTTTTCAGCACAAGGACCCCTGGTCAAAAAGACACGCTATTCTCCTGGCTGTTGGTTCTTGGTGGTATGAGGTCCCCCCATTTCTCTACTCACTTGTCTCTTTTATATCTCAAAAAAGATTGACTTAAGACACAACCTAATCTTGTAGATTGACTCCTGCCTCATTAACATCATAGAGGCAAGATTTACAACACGTAGGAAAATCACATCAGATGACAAAATGGTGGACAATCACACAATACAGGGAATCATTGACTAGCCAAGTTGACACACATTTTAGGCGGACACAATTCAATCCATAACACCTCCCTGTCCAAATTCTCCAGCAGGCAGTGCTGAAGCAGAGCCAGAGCGTGAACTGGACATATCATTTACATATTTATTGTTCACTTCTATGAGTTTTGACAAATGCATACAGTCGTACCAATCAGGACACAGAACAGTCCCATCACCCCCCAGAATTCCCTCATTCTGTCTCTTTGGAATCAACCCCTCTCCTTTCCCTGGTCCCTGACAACCACCGATCTGTTCTTCTTATAGTTTTGTTTGTTTGGGTTTTGTTTATTTCTTTTCCTCAAATCACGTGGTTTGTTAAATCAATTTAAAACACAGCAAGAAGCAAGGAGAAAGGGATGAGTCTACTTAACCAGCTTAGGGTAGGGGCAAGCAGGGTGGAAGGACCACACTACTTGAATCTGGGGGCAGTGGCGGTTCAGTGGTAGAATTTTCACCTTCCATGCAGGAGACCTGGGTTCAATTCCCAGGCAATGCACCTAATATGCAGCCACCACCCATCTGTCTGTGGAGGCTTCATGTTTCTATGATGCTGAACAGGTTTCAGTGAAACTTTCAGACTAAAGACAGACTATCAAGAAAGTCCTGGCAATCTACTTCCAAAAATCAGCCAATGAAAATCCTACGGATCATAACAATTTGATCTGAAACTGATCATGGGGATGGTGCAGGACCGGGGAGCATTTCATTCTGTCGTGCATGGAGTTGCCACGAGTCGAGGGCCAACTCAACAACAGCTAGCAACCACAACAACAATGTTCATATGTTCTGGATCTCTCTGCTACATCAGCCTTCCCTGCTGATGATGTGGTTACAAGGCCCAGAGCTGAGGTTGAAGCAAGGGAGCCACAGATGGAAATGCTTAGGCCAATGACACATGCTTGCTTTTTCAGAAAGACATTGGGACTAGTTTGTCTGGCCATTGCTGTAGCTTGCTAATTAGCCTGCTGAGCTTCCAGAAATTTATATGTCTTACACAGAGAACACATGGAGCTAGAATAGGCATAGCCAAAGGGCCAAATTAAGACTTCATGGATACTGAGTACTCATGTATATTTAATGCATCCCGAATATTAGTGCCTCTTGTATATTTAGTGTCTCTTATGTGGTGGCACAGTGGTTAAAAGCTTGATTCCTAACCAAAAGGTTGGCGGTTCGAACTCACCCAGCAGCACTGCAAACGAAATACCTGGTGATATGCTTCTATAAAGATTACCCCCAAGAAAACCCTATGGGGCAGTGCTACTCTGTTACATGGGGTCGCTCTGAGTCAGAATTGACTTGATGGCACCCAACAACAACAACGACAACATGCTTTGTGCACGTGTAGCATTTGTGAGTATTTAGTACGTTTTGTGTATTTAGTATATTGTGACTGTAGGCTGGCTATGGGTAGGAATTGACTCAATGGCAATCGGTCTGGGTTTTGGTTTATATAGTACTCAAGTTCCATAGTTTTTACTTTTCCAGAATGTCATATACATGGAATCATACAATACATAGCCTTTTGACTCTGGCTTCGTTCATACAGCATAATGCCTCTGAGATTCATCCATGTTATTGAGTATCAATAGTTGGTTCCTTTTCATTGCTGAATAGTATTCCATGGTATGGATGTACCACAGTTTGTTTATCCATTCCCCTATTGTGAACATTTGGGTTGTTTCCAGTTGTGGACAATTATGAATAAAGCTGCTATAAATATTCTTGTATAGGTTTTTGTGTGAATCTAGGTCTTCATTTCTCTTGTGTAAGTACCCAGGAGTGGGATTGCTGCTGGGCCACATGGGAGGGGTATGTTTAACTTCACAGGAAACTTCCAAAGTGTTTTACAGAGTGGTCTTACCATATTGCATTCCCACCAGCAGCATATGAGCATTCCAGTTGCTCCACGTCCTTACCTTCATATCGTCAGTTATTTTGATACTAGCCATTCTAATAGCTATGTGGTTGTGTCTCGTTGTGGTTTTAATTTACATTCTCTAATGATTAGTGATGCTGAGCATCTTTTCATGAACAGAGCATGGTCTGTGAGATAAGATAGACCCAAGTTCAAGTTCTGCTTCTGGCACTCACGCTGTGGCCTGGACAGGAGACCAGATCTCTGTGAGTCTCCATTTCCTCGCTGCAAATGGGGAAGACAATAGCACCTGCATCATAGCGTGGCTGTTATGAGGATAAATGAGATCCTGGGTACACAGCAAGCATCCAGGGAAAGGTAGCCACTATTGGGAGCTGATAACTAGTGTTGGAGCCATAAGAGTCTCACTGTCTTGCAAACCTAGCCCAGGCAGCTCCATCTCACCTTGCTGTAGTCACCCTGGCTACCCGGCAGGCCCCCAGTCAGCTCCCCTGTGCTGGTCTCCAGAGGCCCTCGCCACCACCTCCCCCATCTCTGCTGCCATTGTGGGCCAGGCCTGCCCTTGTGTCTTGCACCTGGGCATCAGAGATCCCTTTCTGTCTTCCCTACAATTTGACCTTCCCCCTTGCCCTGTTTCTGGACTTCATCTGAATTCAACTGACAGCTAGAAGATCGCTTGCTCCCCCTAGGCCATGTAAAAGCCACTCCCTACCCCCGCAACCACCTCACACCTTACAGAGACTCTGCTGAGCACAGATCCACGGCATGTGTCTTCTGTTCTCTGTGGCTTTTGTACAGCCTGTGCTGGCTTCCACTCCCATTAGCTTGTGAACTTATTCAGCTTTCCCTGGACTCTTTCCTCTGAGTGATATGTACCCCTTGAGACCTGGGAGAGCCATCCGTATTAAATGGTTTTGTATCCCTTGCATTCAGTAAACCTTATGGAGAGGCAACACAGACTGCCAGGGCCCATGCAGGCCCTGGGTGTTGAGTGCCAGGCCTGTAAACCGCCTTCAGCTCTCAGTACATTCCCCATATTCTGCACTCTGCAGTCACATGAGAGGCTGCTAGTGTACCCCGGGAGCAGTGGGGGTGGGAGCCCTGGGGTGCCCACACTGGAAATACAGACAGGTCCTTGGCCAGGTGCTGGGGGCCTCTGACTGAGGAGCCGGTGGTTCAGACAAGGCCCCTGACATTTCTCACTCAGAGTTTTCCACTAACAGCCTCCAGCTCCTGGCCAGTGCATGGCATGGAGAATCTATGTACTGAATGAATGATACCAGCTTCCTCCTGTGCTGAGTGTGGGACTCCGGTGGATTGCTGGGACACCATGCCCCAGAGACTCCTGTTTGACCCGCAGCTGCCGGACTCCCTGTCGTGCTCTGTGTACCTGGGCCTCGGGCTATCAGCCAAGGGCAGCTGCAGAGAGCAGGAGACCCAGGTATCCTGGGGCCTGAACTTGGCAGGGACCAAATTCCCAGAACAGGCTCACCACCAGAGCAGGGCTTTGCAGCTGAGCCTTCCTCAATTCAGGCTTGTAACTGAGAGCCGGTAACGGTGGCTGGTCTGAGAAAGTTTTATTTTGTCATTTGGATCTATTAAGATTACTGTAACTATGACTCTGGGTGGCGCAAATGGTTAAGTGCTCAACTACTAGCCAAAAGCCAAATCAGCAAACCAGTCCCCCTTCCCAGGACAAGGGAGACTTTTGGGCAGCCCAGCCCACGGGGCTGTCCCAGGGGCCCAGCCCTCACTCTACCCGCTGCCTCCCGGACGAGTCCCTGTCTGCCTCTCAATTTCCCACCATTTTGCTCTGAAGGTGTTCTCACTGTGTTCCCTGAAACACGCCCAAGAGTCCTTTAAGTCCTCCGTCCCTCCTCCTTTATGCCCCGCCCCCCCGGCCGGCAAGGGAACCAGTCGGAACCCTTGCCTTGAGGAGTGGAGGTGGGGGCGTGTCTGTGCTCCAGGACCCCACTAGGGCGCGTCAGCTCCCTGCCCAAGATAGCGTCGGGTGCGCTCGGTGACGGCAGCAAAAACCCCTAAAGGTAGGCGAAAGCCAGGAGGGCAGGGCAGGACCGGCGGCTCTCCCGTCGGGGCCAGACGGGTAGACCCGGCGGCAGGCGGCAGACGCGGGTCCTGCACCCCGCGCCCCGCGCCCAGCAGCACGATGAGCGGCTCAGTTGGAGACCTGGGCCTCCAGGAGCAGGAGGCGGTGGCCAAGGTGAGGGTCACCGCGGGCGGGACTGAGGACAGGGCTGGTGAGGCCTCCGCGCAACCTGACACTTCCGGACCGGCTGGATTCCCCCACTTTGCAGGCGGGAATCCGAACTCGGGAAAGCCCTGTGCCCTGCCCCCTGGGCTCGCGCAAGCAGGTCGGAGGGCAGGAGCCCTTTTCTGGGGAGGCTTGGGTCCAATCCAGCCTTCCACTCCCGCCTGCCTGACGGTGCCCCCTGCCTGCCACCCAACAGGAGGGCTGGACTGTGGCCCCTTTCTGGGCGCTGGTGAGGGCGGGGGGAGCGGTTGGCGGGAAGGTGGCACTGCCATCGGGCTACAGGGCAGCCTTGGGCAGAAGGCCTCCCAGAGCTGGCATCCAGATTGGGACACTTTTGTTTGCTTGGTTTCTGTTTGTGATTCCTGGACTCTTCAAGGCCCAAGCCTCCTCCCTACTGTTAATTTTTTCATTACAGGGAAATGGAGGATATTTTGCTAATTTCAAGACAGTTCTGCAGACCCCGCCCGGGTGTGTCACAGACATGGGGAAGGGAGGGTGTCCCAGGTTTTAGGTGCCCCAGCAGCAACATGGGGACTGGAAACCGTGATTTGGGGCTAGGAGGGGTTCGGAGGGGTTTGTCTGCAGCCCTGCCTCGAGCTCCGCTCTGTTAAGGTGCATCCTGGATCTGTGGGGAAGGATTTATTTTGAGGCTTCTGCCCTGAGGAAGAGTCTTCCAGGGAGGAATGTGGTTCCCAGAGGAATTCCTGGGTGAAGAAGAAAGGAGTCCCCCGATGAAGGAGATGTTCCTCAGTGAAGGGGAGGGATCCTAAAGTGAAGAGGTATCCCTGGATGAAGGGAGGTCCCAGATGAAGGAGGGAGGTCCTGGGACGAGGAGAGGGATCCTGGGTGAAGGAGAGGGATCCTGGGTGAAGGAGGGGCTTCCCAGGTGAAGGAGGGGGCGCCAGGTGAAGAAGGCATTCCCTTGGTGAAGGAGAGGGTTCCCAGGAAAAAGACAGTGTTTCTGGCTGAAGGAGAGGGGTTTCCTGTTGAAGGCGGGTTTACAGTGAAGGAAGAGTCCTCAGGTAAAAAAAGGGGTCCCTAAGTGAGGGAGAGATATTCCTGGATGAAGGAGAGAGTCCCTGGGTGAATCCTTGGGTAAGAGAGAGGGCTTCTGGCTGAGCAGGGGCCCCCAGTGAAGGAGAGGGATTCCCATACTATGGAGGAGTCTCTAGATGAAGGAGACGGGTCCCCAGTGATGAAGAGGGTCCATAGGTGAAGGAAAGGAGTTCTTGGTGAAGGAGAAGGGTTCCCAGGTGAGCCGTCTCCCTCCCAACTGGCGATGACATGTGGTTGTCAGATGGCACCCGGGCCTTTGGAGATGAATTCTTTTGGAGATACCTGTGGGCCAAGGAGTTTTAAAAAAATGTAAAAAGAGTTTATTCTTGTTTTTTTTTCCATTATTTAAAAAAAAAAAAATGCTTGTTATTTAAAAATTGGGGGAAGAAACCCAGGAAAGTAGGAAGAAGGGGATGTGGTCACCCATGGTCCCACAAGCCTGGACAACCACCTTGGCAACATTCCCTTCCCCATAGCTTTTCTTATGCCTGGTGTTGACCACCTAAGGTAGAACTGGGCTCCATAGGGTTTTCAAGGCAGATTGCCAGGCCTTTCTTCCAAGGTGTCTCTGGGTGTGTTTGAACCACCCACCTTTATGGTTAGTAGTCAAGCACTTAACCGTTTGCGCCACCCGGGGACTCCAGTCACACTGCTCGGTGCTGCTTTTTCCATAAGGCACCATCATCAAGAGATACGTTTCCTGTAGTTTACCTCAGAATTTCTGGCATCTGTTCAGTGGCTCTCTTTTCATTGATGCGTGTTCCAAGGGTGCAGTGGTCTGGAGGTTGGAAGACACCTGGCCTTGCCACTTCCTCTCTGTCCCTGGGAAGATTTTCACCTCCCCAGCCTCGATTTCCTCATCTGTGAGGTGGGAATATGAACTTTGCCTCTCCTGAGGATCAAATGAGGGCATTGCATAACCCTTGAGGGACTGAGGGGTGTGGCATTCTTGTTCTCTGGCAGCACGAACTCCCTGCCCCCCAAAAAAAACACCTCCCCCAGGAGCTTAGAGGCTGCAGCTGTTTAATGTGCAAGAACCTCCATCTGGTGCTTGCTTGGACTGGGAACTGTTATAGCACGTGCTGTTGTTACTTGTTAACTCTGGAGATGCTTAAACTGTTTATTCACTTTTTATTATGTGAGCAATACAGGAATATATTCATGTTGTAAACATTGTCCATTAAGCTAAAGTTGGTTTGTGGGTCAGACGGCTTCCTACATTTTTACTTACATCTGCTTCTAACCCCAAATTCTGATTTCTGGGTTCCCCTCCAAACCCAGCCCTCGAGGCCTTGCTTTCAGCTACTTTAGTCCCCGTGGATGGAGTCCTGGGTGGTGCAAACAGCTAATGCACTCAGCTGCTAACTGAAAGGTTGGAGATTCAAGTCCACCCAGAGGCATCTCACCGGAAAGGTCTGGTGGTGTGCTTCCAAAAGATCACAGCCATTGAAAACCCTATGGAGGGCAGTTCTACTCGGATGCATATGGGGTCGCCATGTGTCGGAGCTGACGCCATAGTAACCGGGTTTTTTTAATCGTGCATGGAAGTGAAGTCTCTTCTCTCTGTCTTCGACCCCAGCTTCCAGGTGTTGTTGTTGATGTGCCATCGAGTGAGTTCCGACTCACGGCGACCCTACGTACCATAGAATGAAACACCGCCCGCTCCTGCCCCATCCTCACAATTGCTGATATGCTTGAACTCATTGTTGCAGCCACTGTGTCAATCCATCTGGCAAATCCATCAACTTCCAGAGGCTTCTCCAAGCTCAGCCAGCAGGAAACGCTCCCCCAGCAAGCTAGCCACCTTCCATAGCCCCAACAGATGTCCCGATGAAAACTCTCTTTCTAGTCCCTCCCTGCTAACGTTTGCCTCGGGTTTTCCCCACAAAGACCCCACTGTCCAGGGCTCCAGTCTTTCCACGTTTGCTGAGTGCCCACACTTACCCAGCATCTGCGGCAAGCCAGGCCCAGCATTAAATGTTTTATGTGTGTAAGCTCATTTGATTGGTACAAGTTCATCATTGTCCCCATTGCACAGATTAGGAAACTGAGGCTTAGAGGTTAAGTAACTTGCTTCCTAATTTGGACCCCCAAGATGCAGTATGGGAGGCAACATCCCTAAATCATTCTAGTTGCCCTGCATCAGAATCACTCAGGGATCTTTGGAAAGATAAGGATGCCAGGGCCCCACCTGGGGTCTACGGAGTGAGAGTCTCAGGGAGTGGGGCACCTGCAAAGTTTGAGAAGGGCCCACTTCCTCCTCCCTTGGTGGGCTGGGGGGATGCCCCATTTCCAGGTGACAAAATGGTCCAGGGCGACTGCTGCTAATTCTGTGGCCCCTGCCCTGCAGGATCCCTGGGCAGGGAGAACTGGCCAACTGAGGGACAGGAAGGGAAAGGGACTGGGTTGGGAGCACAAGGGTCGTGGGAGCCACTCTGACCATCACCCTCCACCCCTCAGTTTCGAGAGAACCTTCAGGACCTGCTACCCACCCTGCCCAAAACTGGTGACTATTTTCTCCTGTGCTGGCTGGCTCCAAGGTGAGGCCGGAGTCTGGGAGGTAGAGAGGGAGGGAGGGATGGAGAGAAGGTTGGTGGGAAATGGTGCAGGGAGGCAGCACTGGGGAGTGACGAAGCACAAGGATTCAGGAGTCTGCCAGCTCTGAAAAAAGTCAGTCATTCAGGCAGCACGGCACAGAAACCCCTCTGAGCCTCAGTTTCTTCATCTGCAAAGTGGGTGTCTTAGGCTGGGTTCTCCAGAGAAGCAAAACCAGTGAAGCATGCATATATATATTAATTATAAATATATAAAAACCATTGCTGTCAAGTCAATTCCAACTCATAGTGACCCTATAAGACAGAGTAGGACAATTCCACCATCACAGAAAGTCCTATTGGACAGCACTGATACACATGCTGATTTTAGTAAATATATAGCCTGGAGAGAAGATGGGGAGGGTGAACTTGATGGCTTGTCTTCAGATATTTGCAGAGTTGCCACGCAGACAAGTGGTTACATATATTGCCTTTGGTACCTGACAGTGGGACTGGAATTATTGTAGGAGAGATTTCAGCTCAGTCAAAGCTGCTGGAAAATGAAATGGGCCGTCTACTGAGATAGTTAACTTCCCGTCATGGGAGGTATTCAAGGCAGAGCTAGTGGCTTCAGGTGCGTTTTTGCGGAGGTGGTTCATGATGAGGGCAGAGGAGCCCTGGGTGATGTCTCCGTCCCCTTCCATTTGAAAATCTCTGACCCTGGGTCTCATCGCAGACCCATCACTGGATTAGTTTGCCAATGAGCAAAAGGCATGGCATTTCTAAAATAGAATGTCACATTTGTAATTAAAATGTATTTACTTCTTCAAAAGAAGTAATCACAATAATACCCATCGCCATCAAGGCGATTCCAACTGATAGAGACCCTAAAGGACAGAGAACTGCCTCATGGGGTTTCCAAGAATGTAATCTTTTTCTTTTTATTGTGCATTAGGGGAAAACTTACAGAGCAAATTAGTTTCCCATTTGATAGTTTGTACATAAAGTGTTCCATGACATTGCTTGCATTCCCCACAATGTGCCAGCACTCTCCCTATTTCTGCCCTGAGCTCACTGTTTCCTTTTGTCTGGATTTTCTACCCCTTCCTGCCTTCTCATCTTTGCTTTCGGGAAAATGTTGTTCAATCAATTATCTAATATAATTGATTGTTCTCAGGATCACGTTCCTCTTCAGTGTTGTTTATTTTATGGGCCTGTCTATGGTTTGGCTGAAGGGTGGCCTCCGGGAATGGCTTTAGTTCCAGTTCAGAAGGGCAGTAGTCTTGAGGGTTCCTCTAGTCTCTGTCAGACCCATAAGTCTGGTCTTTTTTGTGAATTTGACTTTTTGTTTGATAATTTTTCTCCTGCTCTGTCCCAGACCCTCTGTTGTGATTCCAGTCAGAATGGTTGGTAGTGGTAGCTGGGCACCATCTAGTTCTTCTGGTCTCAAGGTTGTATAGGCTGTGGTTCATGTGGACCATTAGTCCTTTGGACTAATTGCTCCACTGAGACTTTGGTCTCCTTCACTCTCCCTTGCTCCGGATGGTAAGAGATCAATAGTTATATCTTAGATAGACACTTGCAAGCTTTTAAGACCTCAGACGCTACTCACCAAAGTAGGATGCAGAACTTTGCCTTTATGAACTATGTTGTGCCAATTGATGTAGATGTCCCTCAAGTCTATGGTCCTTCACCTTACATCCTAGAAATTTCATCCTGCAATGTGTTTGGTTATGTCTAAGAAGCCAAGCTGTAATCTTGACAGAAACAGACTGCCACATCTTTCTCCTGTGGAGCAGCTGGTGGGTTTGAACTGCCAACTTTTTGATTAGCAGCTGAGCACTTAACCACTGCACCACCAGGGCTCCAATCACAATAATAGCTACCATTTGTTGAGAACTTACTATGAGCCAGGTACTGTGCCATATACTCATGTCATCCTTTGAATAACTCTGAAAACGATATGATTCCCATTAATAAACAAAAAAAATGGAGGCTCAGAGAAGGTAAGTAACTTGCCCAAGATCACAGAGCAAATAAAAAAAACAAAGCTAGAATTCAAGTCCAGGCATGTCTGAATTCAAAGCCAGTGCTCCTCCCCACCCCTCACACTGTGTATGTGTATGTTTGGGTTGGGGTGTCTCTGTTCTTAGGTAATGTCAAATATTACAGGCTAGGTCAGCCTCTAGAACTAATGGTTTTAAAAGGCCTGGAAACTGAAATCAAGGATCCTCCAAAATCTTCTGGAGAATTCATGGTCTTTGCTTTTAAAAAAAAAAATCCAGACCTTCAATGTGTCAATGTATTCAGTTCCTGGGGTGTCAGGGAAAGGCTGGGGCAGCCCCACTGCCCCCTTATGAACTCATTCTAGATCCAGCCTCAAGCCTCCTCTCACCTCGGCTTCCTCTTGCAGCTTGGAAATTTGACCTGCAGAAATCTGAAGACATGCTCCGCAAGGTGAGGGCCCATCTTCCCTAGCACCTTGCCTCCTGCCCCTGCACCCCGGGCTTGGCGACAAAGGGTGAGCATTCTTGCCCTGCTGGTTTTCATATTTCCTCTTCTTTCCTTTTTATTTCCCTTTCTGCATCAGACCCGTACCCCCTCCACCCGCTCCTGTCCCATCCCCAGTTCTGTGTTGGTGGGGCTGGGGATGCTCTGGCAGGTCCTCAGTGTCTGTGGGCAGAGGGGCCTGGCCTGCTGCCCCGAGGTCTCCAAGGAGGCCTTTGGGGCAGGCGGGGCTTTCAGCTCCAGCTGTGTCTCTGCAGCACATGGAGTTCTGGAAGCAACAAGACCTGGACAACATCCTTGTGTGGCAGCCCCCAGAGGTAAGCCCCACGCAGTGCCCGCCAGACAATCACCCTGATACCTCCCTCCCACCTATTACCCAGAGCTGGCCCCTGATGGAGCAGAGGCACTGCCTTGGGGGCTGGTTGTGTCAAGGCCTTTCCCATGTCCCAGGTGATCCAGCTGTATGACTCAGGGGACCTGTGCGGCTATGACTACGAAGGCTGTCCCGTGTGGTTTGACATCACTGGGACCCTCGACCCCAAGGGCCTCTTACTCTCAGCCTTCAAGCAGGAGGTAATCCGGAAGCGCATCAAGGTCTGTGAGATGCTTCTGTACCAGTGTGAGCTGCAGAGTGAGAAGGTGAGAGGCTGGGGCGGGTATAGCGGGCCAGTCTGCCCACAGGGGGCACCAGGACCAGGGAGAGGTAGCACCTGCCCCGCCTCTCTCCCCAGCCTTCAGCACTCAGGGCTCTGGTGGGGCATGGGCATCTCCCGCAGCCATCCACCCGTAAGCACCTAGCATGCTCTGCCAGCCTGTCAAGGATCACCAACCCCCCATCCCCTTCTGCATGAAATGTTGCCCTTGGGTGCAGTGAACTCTCTTATTAGGACCCTGAAACCCTGGTACTGGTGAACAGTCAGCTTTGCTTATGGAAAAGATGTCGCCTGGTTAGTAAAGTGCATAAGTACAAACACCTGATGGTGTTTGCTTTGGGCATCCCTAAGAGCAGTGACCCTTGAAACTGGGCATGTCTCTTATGGGGACCCTAGAAGCTATACGTATGGAAATGCTACAAAAGATATTGAGTCCTGGGGGCATGGAGCGTCCAAGCCAAGAAGGACCCCATGCCCAACTCTGTGGGTCTCTTCTCCTTAAACCTGAGTTGTCCACCAACGCCGACACACTGTGTTTCCTGGCCCATGTCCTTCTGAGTGAATCCAAGGCCAAGTGTGGCCTATGTTGGTCTTGTGAGTCTAAGTTTCTAAACAGCTCCCTGGTGAATGCTGATATGTTGTTGTGGGATGATTTGGTGAGTGACTGACTCTAATGACCAAGGCAGGGCCTGTGTCCCCAGCACCTCACACAATGCCAGACATATAGTAGGCCCTCAACAGAGATTTATAACAATAATGAGTGAATTACAAAGCACCATATTTGATGGTGCCTGGTTTGAATAGAACTGGAGCCCTGGTGGCACAGTGGTTAAGAGCTCAGCTGCTAACCAAAAGGTTGGCAGTTCGAATCCACCAGCCACTCCTTGGAAACCTTATGGGGCAGTTCTACTCTGTCCTGTAGGGTCACTATGAGTCAGAATCCACTTGACGGCAGTGGGTTTGGTTTGGTTTGGTTTGATTTTGAATAGAAGGAGGCACAGTGGTTAAGCACTTGGCTGCTAACCAAAAGGTTGGTGGGTTTGAACCCACCAGCTGCTCCATGGGAGAAAGATGTGGCAGTCTGCTTTCGTAAGATTTACAGCCTTGGGAACCCTGTGGGGAAGTTCTACTCTGTCCTACAACATCGTTATGAGTTGGAATTGACTCAATGGCAATGGGTGGGTGATTTGGATAGATGTGTGTCTTTCAGAAGATGGCTGATTTTACAGGGCCAACACAGTGTTGTACACTTCATGGGTATTCCCTGTTGGAGCTGAGCCTTCCGGTAATGATGATACTAATAATAATATCTGCTAATATTTATCAGGGCCTACCTGTGGGCCAGGCACTGGGCTGTTTGTGCATTATGTCATTGAATCCTCACAGCCATTCTGTCGGAGACTGAAATTATCTCCATCCTACAGAGGAGGAAAGTAAGGCTCAGATGAGTCAAAAATCCACCCAGTGCCACACAGCCAGTATGCAGCATAGGTGTGACTTGAGCGCTGGAACGGGACTGCAGGACTTTGGCTGACGTAGTATAGAGTATTGCCCATAAAGATACCCAGTGAGTAATGAATGCTGTCTTTAAATGTACGGTTAATTTATCCCAGGCAATATTGTTGAGCAAACAGTGTTATAACACCATGCAGTCTCAGACTGTTCTGGACTCAGATGTGGCATCTCCTCAGGCTCTTAATGGGCTCCATCTATTTAGAAACTCTGTAGGCTGCCAGGGGATGGCAGGAAGGTGGGCAGAGGTGCCTGATTCTCTCCGGTCAGGGTCTCCTTGTTGGAGCTTTTGTCTGACCGATAGATCTATTCTGTCATATGCAGTTGGGCAGGAAGATCGAGACAGCGGTGATGGTGTTTGACATGGAGGGGCTGGGCCTGAAACACTCGTGGAAGCCTGCCGTGGAGGTCTACCAACAGGTAAGGTGGGAGGCTGGCCTGAGGCTGGAGAGGCAGGGGCTCCCAAGCCAGTAGGGAGCCACTGCCCACGGAAGGCCCATGGAGAGGCAAGAACCAGCCAGTGAAACTTGCCTGGGGCCCACTCTCCAAGGAGAAAGAGGAGGAAGGGTTACACAGAAGAGGAAGACAGGATGGGCTGCTGGGAGCCTCTTGTTGCAGCAGAGTCAGAGGCCACAGTGATCCAGAGCCCAGGGTCCTGAACATGGCCTCAACCAGACTCACCTTGACTCCACAGTTCTTTGCCATACTGGAAGCAAATTATCCTGAGACACTGAAGAATTTAATTGCTGTGCGAAGTGAGTGAGATGACCTCCTGTAGAGGGAGGAAATGGAAAAGCTGGAGGGCAGTGGGTAAACTGTTGAGTTCAGGGATTCTCAAACCATCCATTGTGAAGAACCATTTTGTTTTTGTTTTTTAAGTGTCAGTCCTTCACAAACGGATGCGTTTGTAATATACAAAATCACGGGCCAGCATGTTGCAGCAATGTCAAATAAGTTATAAGTTTCTAAATGTTTGCTGTAGTTTGCTTTACTAGTCTTGGCATGGACTGATAACAGACAGCTCATGGACAATGCTGGTTGGTGAACACACTCTGAGTGGGAATGGTCTGTGTGCAATGGCCATATAGTGCAGGGCTTACTACATGCCTTCTGGAATCAGATGATCTGAGTTCAAATCTAGCTAGTTCTGTGACCCTGAGCCCAATTTACCCATCTATGAAGTGAGCATGTGATGGTACCCTCTCATAAGATAGCTGTGAGGGTTAAATGAGATAGTCCATGGAGAAGATGTAGCACAGAGCCTATCCCACAGAAAGTGCCCAGTAAGCGTGAATGATTTAGGGTGAGACATGAGGTCTAATACAGATGCTCCCCCCGCCACTTGCACCCAAGAGGTTCCAAAGCAACCTGGAAAAACCTTGAGTGTGTAAAGGAAGAGGCACTGTTGGGCAATCAACACTGCTGACCCCCACCCGAGCCAGCTTGCGCCCAATACCTTAAAGCTAGGCTAAGGGAGGCAACCGTTTGGTGAGAGCCAGGCACTGTTCTGAGTGTTATTCATACACTATTCACTTTAACCTCCATTTTACAGTTAACAACACAAAGACTCAGAGAGGGTGAGTAACTAGCTCAAGGTCACACAGCAGTAAGTGGCAGAATTCAGATCTATCCAGCTCTAATGGCCGTGGCTTTATATGACCTAGTCCTTTCTGGCCCAGCTTCCCAAGGGTATTTCATGTGTTTCAGCCCCCAGACTTTTCCCCGTGGCCTTCAACCTGGTCAAGTCATTCATGAGTGAAGAGACACACAGGAAGATAGTGATTCTGGGAGGTGAGTGATTCGGCCTCTGAGCTATGCCTATGTCCACATCTGCTGGGAAGCGGAGGTCAGTGCTAAAGTCCTCATCATTTTCTAGTCCATCCTCTTCACTCGGGGGCTGGCCCTGGCCTGACCCTAGTTGGGCTCTGCACTCACAGGGGATGCCTCAGGCCCTAGGCCATGCCCTGGGTGACCACATAAAGCTTTAGAGTGATCTCAGAAGTAAGAGCTCAGGGGAGCAAGCCAAGGGCATGTCAGGCCCCTCCCTAGGTTCATCCCACCCTCCGTCTGTTGAGCCTCCACGCCGATTCCCCTACAGCCAACTGGAAGGAGGAGTTGCTGAAGTTCATCAGCCCTGACCAACTACCTGCAGAGTTTGGGGGGACCATGACTGACCCTGATGGCAACCCCAAGTGCCTGACCAAGATACAGGGAGCCCAGAGGACGGGAAGAGAGGGGATGGACAGGCTGAGGTCTAGTGTCCACTCACCCACCTTCATTCTCAGATCAACTACGGGGGTGAGGTGCCCAAGAGATATTACGTGCGCAACCAGGTGAAGAAGTAGTACGAGCATACGGTGACTGTGGGCCGCGGCTCCTCCCTGCAGGTGGAGAACGAGATCCTCTTCCCAGGATGTGTGCTCAAGTAGAGACAGCGGCCACTCCACCCCTGGGTACAGCTGAGAGGGGCCCTGGGGCACAGCAGTGTCCTCAGCAGGGCTCTGTCCACTGCAGGTGGCAGTTTGACTCAGATGGGGGGGACATTGGCTTTGGTATCTTCCTGAAGACCAAGATGGGGCAGCGACAGCGGGCAGGCAAGATGGCAGAGGTGTGCCCAGCCAGCGTTACAATGCTCACATGGTGCCCGAGGACGGGAGCCTCACCTGCCTGAGGGCTGGCATCTGTAAGAGCTCTGGTGTTCACTCAAGTTGTTTGCCTCCTCGTGGCAGAGAAATGAGCCGACCATCTCTTACCAGTCTTGCAGGCCCTGTTTACCTCTATTTCCAGCTCTCAGAGAGGGGTGGGCGACTGTGTAAACTCCCAGACTCATGGGCACCGGGGGTGGGGTTGGCTCTGAGACTTGGATCTGGTGAGCGGCCCCAGGTCTGGGTACAAGAGCAGAGGTGGATTGTGGAGGGAGAGCCAGGATTCACCGGGCCAGGGCGGGAGCTCAGATCCTGGGAAGACCCCGCACTGGGCTCCTCAAGCTAAGATAGGTAAATAAAGCAAGGCCTTGTCACCAGGGTAAAGTTTCTATCCTCTACGCTTTCTGCCTTTGGTGTCTCGCTCAGAAGGACTTTCCTACTTCATGATTATATAATATTCATTTATATTTTCTTCTAGC